ACTACGTACTACGTAGTACGTTACTCGTAGTAACGTAACAAGTTACGTTAGTTAAGTTAGTACTAGTTAGTTAGTCGTAAGTTAACTTAATTATTATAGTGTGTGTGTGTGTGTGTGTGTGTGTGTGTGTGTGTGTGTGTGTGTGTGTGTGTGTGTGTGTGTGTGTGTGTGTGTGTGTATGATCAGCCAGGTTAAATATATTTACAATAACACTCACTCGACATTGCTCCTGGAGTGTGGATTAAATATATTTACAGTAACACTCACTCGACATTGCTCCTGGAGTGTGGATTAAATATATTTACAGTAACACTCACTCGACATTGCTCCTGGAGTGTGGATTAAATATATTTACAGTAACACTCACTCGACATTGCTCCTGGAGTGTGGATTAAATATATTTACAGTAACACTCACTCGACATTGCTCCTGGAGTGTGGATTAAATATATTTACAGTAACACTCACTTAACTTATTAATAAGCTCTTTCACATGGACACGTATGTTTTCTCTTGGAGCACTGCAATTGGAATCTTTTACCACCATGGTTACTTAAAAACTTGAAACTGGTAATTTAATTAATGAAATATTAAAACATGAATTTTGTTTTTTATTATGTATTTAAAAATAAACCTGGCACTGGTAACTATTTATAAAAGTAGCAGTAAGAAGTGTTAAAAAAGTTTGTTTTTTTGTTTTTTTAAGTAATGTGAATTCAGAACATACAAGATTTTTTTTCCCTAGTATCTGGTGCACATAGCATAGATAGTTCAGTGTGTATCTTTCCATTGAAACCACACCTTATAATGTAGTAACATTCTCTTTAAGAAAAAAGGTCTGTATGGGATTATGTTTTTGTAACTAGTATGTTAGAACATTTAGGTATGTCTGAATGCAAGTAGTACACACAAGCTTATGTTCAAATTATGGCAAAATTCTGCTTAGCACTGTTGTAATAAAACTTTGGTTTTATATAAAAACTATATGCAAAATGTAACATGCTTTACCCCATACAATAGCCACAATATTGAACTACCACAGTTTAGACTGTAAGCCAAAATAATATCACTATGGGATGCTGACTTAGGTTGGACTAGAAGCCAAGAATGTTTGGTCACGAGGTTTAGGGTGCAACTAGCCATAATTTTTATCCTCAGGTTGATCATTTGCCATAAAAAGTAGTTAACCATGTATGTTCTTATATTTTGAAAAGCTACCCATATCAATAAGTTTTCAAACAAGAATGCTACCTTCTCTCCTTTTATGTTAAACATCAAGGAGAAAAATGTGGAATTTTTTGTCATAGCTTTGCAAGGATTAAATATTTCAAAATACACTAACTTGATTCATTAGGTTCTGTGTGATGAGTGTGAGAAACTTTACTGTTTTAATGTCCTTAGTGTGAAATACAATGCCAACTGATGACTACACTTAGTCCTTCGTAGCTGAAGGCTAAAGTACTCATGTAGCCACTATTTTCATCATCCTTGAAAATGCAAAGTACATAGTTACCCTACTGACAAGCGAGTAACCTACCCCAGGTTTCTATTTGGGCTGTAGTACCTCTGAACAATTTACATATTTTGTAACATTCACCAATGTAGATACTTCTTCATTCTATTAATTACCTGAATTCATCTTCATGCAAGTTGCTCAGAAATCTAATCACACATGAAATGTGGTAAGCACTATAATTTACAAACCTCAACAAAGTGATTCTAAATATTTATTTTGAGAAACACTTCTTATGGTGGTGACATTGTTGTTTGTGTCACCCCTGTTCATTATTCTTATGGTGGTGACATTGTTGTTTGTGTCACCCCTGTTCATTATTCTTATGGTGGTGACGTTGTTGTTTGTGTCACCCCTGTTCATTATTCTTATGGTGGTGACGTTGTTGTTTGTGTCACCATTATGTTTGTTGTACCACTGCTTACTGATGTGTGCCTTTTCTGATTATATGTACAATTCACAAAACAATTAAAGGATGATAGTTCGGTCACTCCTTTCAGGTCATTGTTATGCAAATAGGAAAACTAATGATGAGTAAATTTATTTGGAAGGCAAATGATTTTTCATTCAGCATATACCATATACAGTGGTCTCAGCCTTTTCTCAGTTGTCCCTAGGAAACAAAACAGCATTTCATATTCTTCATGAACCACAGTTTCACCTCAAACAAGACATTGATGTTCCACTCATATGAAGAGCTACAGGATGAATGGAAATTGACTGTTACTTGTCACTTCTGGCCTCAGTCGCAGATACCGTTTTGAGATTGCATTAAATGCTCACAGCTGCAACTGGGTGCCATGTAAGAATACGTATGGTTTAAAAATATTTCAAAAGTCCAGTCTGTATGGTAGATGCCTTAATGTGGTCCATTCTAGTTGCACCAAGACAGAAAACTGTGTAATAATATTCCTTTCAGAAATATGTTGTGCTTTACTCAGCAACTAGATATCACGCTTGTTCTCATTTGTAAATAATCAGGAACCAGATAAAATAGCATTTTTCATGCAAGAAGCAGACTTGTATGAGATTGGAGAAAGAATTGTGAGCTGGAATAAACATTGAAGTCACTGACTTGTGCATACTATGAAATGGGTACTATTAATGCCACATGTTGTATTGTGTAGATTGTAATATATATATATTTGTTTCCGATTTTGTTCAGAGTATCTTCCTCTTCAGCTTGATAACTTGCAAACCACTAACTTACAACCGTAGCTACCATTATCCCCAGTGGGCTATTGCTGTTGGCTGGATCTTAGCTTTGTCATCTATGCTGTGTATTCCATTGTACTCATTATACAAGCTTACTACTGTTTGTGGATCTTTATCTGAGGTAAGTTTGAGCTGTATTTTTAGATTTTCTGGCATTTATGATGTTTTGATGAAAGAGAAATCATGTTAGTTAAAGATATTCTGATAAATTAATTCCAAAATACTAAAATAATTTGAAATATGGTTTTACAATGAGATAAATGACTTACCTTGTTTTTATCACATGCTTTTAATGTTAATAAGAATTATTGTGAAAACATTATTCTAATGGAATGATTATGTATGGGATGTTGGTTGCAGAATAGGTATTGCAAACAAAGACTAAAATTTGTTTCTAGAATATATTTTGTTTCCATAGTTTGTACTTGCTAATCAAATGGAGAGAAAAAGTGTAAGTAAAAGTCAATGAAACTGAAAGTTTAGGGAAATATCAAAATTTGATGAAAATATTACTGAAGAAATCTGTACATAACACAATTTCATGGCACTATTAAATATCAACTGTGTCCTTCAGACAGCTAACACCTAAGCCTTATAACACACAATCCATTATTTCAACTTTAATATGTATGTTTTTGCATGTAGTCTTGTGATCCACATCAACTACATCTGTATATCTTTTTCTTTGACTATATTCAAAGTAAGAAATACAAATACTGTACATTAATATTTTGTAAATGTTAATGATGTGACTTACAAAGTAATATTTACTTAGTATGAAAGTAGCCTAAAGCTGGATTCCTGTATTGATGAACTAACTAAGCTATAGGAGGAAGACAAAATAGTGGCATACGACATAGTCTAATTAGCTTCAGTCACTCTAAGGATGAGGTTCAGTAGACTTATTTAAAGGAGAAATGACAATATCAGTGACCAGCATTCAGTATCACAGCACTCAGTGTAGTATCTCTTGAAATACGTATAAAGAAATTGAAATTTTTAACACCAATTTCAGATCATTAGGGTTAACACTAACAAAGTGTTGGACATTAATATTGTTACGTCTCCGTTCGTTTGTTAATTAATTTTCCGTAAATTCGTTCCAACGAAACTTTAGCGACACAAGTCCTTTCTTAAAGGAAAGAATAAACCAGTTTTAGAATACCACTTTACCGATACACTTAATTTCAACAGTCGCTCTTTTACAAACGCTAGAATGTCTCACGTGCTCGTGATCGACAATGCTCAGTTCAATAATACAATCTCTGACTGCAGTTCAATTACTCATTCTCTCGTCACGTTGTAACCATCTTATATATACCAGCCTACCCTCAATCTAGCAGTCTCCCAATAATTTACGAAGGTTCGAGAGAAGGACGTGGCATGATACTAGTCACGTGACCCCACTGACGCAACAATATTTTATCCACATACATTCAGTAACTCAATGCACTGTTCCCTGTCACAAGATCACGTGACTATTGCCACGCCACCTGCTTTCTAGAACTATCCCGTTCCTTCGGGAGTGCTCTAGCATTTACTAGATTGGGGGTGGCTGGTATATATAAGAGGGTGACAACGTGACGGAATAATGTGTGTGTAAACAGTGAGTAATTGATCTGCAGTCAGAGAGTATTATTGAGCACGTTCATTGTTATAGCGTTTGTTTTAGAGCGATTATTGAAATTAAGTGTATCGTAAAGTTATATTCGGAAATAATAAACCAGTTTTATTAAGTAAGGAATTGTGTCGCTAAAGTTTCGTCGGAACGAAGTTACGGAAAGTTAATTAACGAATGGAGACGTAACAAATTGGTGTCAGAGAGTAGGATAGAAAAAAAAGGGAAGATGATGGCGGAAAATCAAACTATAGCTTAGCAGATTTGATGGCAGCAATACAGAAACAAGAAGAGAAATTACAACAGTTGTCAGAGGAAAAAGAAAAGAAACAAGAAGAACGAGAAGAGAAATTACAACAGTTGTTAGAGGAAAAAGAAAAGAAACTAGAAGAGAGACAACAGCAGTTGCAAGAAAACCTGCAACAATGGCAGCTCGAACAGCAAAATAAACAAGAGAAATTACATCAGTTCTTGGAGGAAAAAGAAAAGAAACAAGAAAAAAGATTACAGCAGTGGCAAGAAAACCTACAACAATGGCAGCTCGTACAGCAAAATAAAAAGAGAGATTACAACAGTTGTTGGAGGAAAAAGAAAATAAACAAGAAGAACGAGAAAAGAAACAAGAAGAGAGATTACAGCAGTGGCAACTGGAACAAGAAAGGAAACAGGAAGAAAGTCAGCAGCAACTACAGGAAAATCAACAACAATGGCAAAAAGTACAAATGGAAATGGTAAATTTAAAAACGAATTAGATACGTTAAAGAACGATTTGTTGTGCGTTACATAAGGAGGATACATTGACCATCAACTTAATCAGCCCCAGACAATGGCAAGCCCCTTACAGAGCCCGCAGCTAAACCTTAATGCAGACATATTCAGTCCCGTTAGAAGTCACATCCCAGATATGAATGTCAGTACTAGGAGTGATCCAGTGCGAAGGAAGCCACAAGAATTCGATGGGAAGGCACTGTGGGAAGCATATAGAGCACAGTTTGAGTTACTGGCAGAGATGAATGGATGGACAGAGGAGCAGAAAGCTGTATATCTGGCAACAAGCTTGAAGGGACAACCACTGGAAATACTTGGACAGTTGACAGCAGCCGACAGACACAACTATAGAGCTCTGGTAGAGGCTCTGGAACTCAGGTACGGAACCCAAAACCAGTCAGAAGCCTACAGGGCCAGGTTCAGGACGAGAGTCCGTGCTAAAGGGGAGAGCCTGCAAGAGCTGGCACAAGACTTGGAAAGCATAGCACGCGAGGCCTACCCAACTGCACCACCCGATCTCCTCAAGTTGTTGTTGAGGGATCAGTTCGTAGACGCCTTGGACAGTCCACAACTTAAGATACAAGTGAAGCAAGTACACCCCTCTACCATGCAGGATGCAATGGCCAGAGCTCTCGAATTTGAATCCTACGTTAGGTCCAGCACAGAGGTACCGAGGTTGGTACAGTCATCTGGATTCAAGGCCAGAAAAGGTCATCTTTCAGAGAAGTTTGAGGGACTTTGCTGGCACTGTAATAAACCTGGGCACAAGAGAGCTCAATGCTGGAAACTTCAAACAGGGGAGGTGCCACAGCAGGAAAGGCTGATATCCAGAAAAGTTGTTGGAACTGTGGAAAGCACGGACATTTGAGGAGACGGTA